GTTAGGCACATCACTTAATCTATTTATAGACACATTACCTTAAGGAAGAGCTGATAAGAACCTATATAAAATAGAGTAACTTAAGAAGCTGGACTCCTAGGGCAATGACAACAGGATTATTTGGGGTTTTTGGGGCCCTGGTCTCACCACTTTCCAAGCTGGCAAAAACTGATAGTGCCATGAGTAGGGATGCCATGCCCCAGGGTACGAGAGGTTGCTGCTTGACGCTGTTCATGAACAAGCAGCAATCTCTGGAGATCACGTATGGATTGGACTGCTTTATCCTGAGAGCATGAGTCAAGTTCAGTGTGGAATATTGCCAGCTGTTAGTTGGTAGACTTTGCTCACCAGGGTAAGCAACAGAAATCACACAACATCATAAAGTTCGAGTCACGGATAATAATGTTATTCATGCTGTATTAAAACTGTTACAAATTGTTCCCTTCTTAAAGAGCATACCAGAATGGTGCTATAAGATTTAAGACGTGATTGGTTTCACGTTTTCCCAAGTATAAATAGCATCAGTTTCAAGCTATACCAAAAATCAGTGGGAAATAAAATTATATTTTACTTGATGCAATTCCTTTTTTTGAAATACCAACGTGCCTCGTCTCTAGAAAGTAAAAATTGCTACTGTTTACTTTTTCGTTTAAGTTAGAGGAACACCTTAAGATGAATTATTTTTGCAAAAAAAAATATTTCTATTAGGGCTTCATTGTAAGTCCCAATAGAAAAGATTACAAAATTAAGGATTTGTAGAACACAGAACTCCATCCTTTATGAACTGGTCTTCTATTGGTTTTCAAGAGTTCTGTAGAATACTATTAGAACTCTTTAGTATAATGTTTTTCTAAAATTAAATTGAGACTATCAAAATATTTTAAATATACTTCAAGTTATAGAAATTTTGACTAAAAATATATGTTTGGAGAAAAGTTACTACAGGCACTAATTTAGAATAAATGTTACTGAACTTGCATGTGGTAAGTTGATGCACAATGTATTGTTGCAAAGCAAATGGGCATTGGCAAGTTTACATTTATTTTCCAAAAGCAGCTGTGGCTAAAATAGACTTTTTATAACCTGTGAAAGAAGAATGATTATATTTTTAAAATATTTCCACAAATAATGCAGAAATGTCTTAACACTGTTGGATGAATTCACAGAGGATTGGCAAATGTAACTGAATTAACCTGCCTTTACACATGTAAGTCAGGCTTTGAGACTCCTTCAAAATTTGCTGGAAACAAGAAATTTGTCATAAAAAAATCATGTATATGAAGATGAACATTTAAATAATAACTTTATCATTCATTTTCTCAATCCAGCAAGAGCTGAGCTGCACCAGTGCCTTTTCCTAGTATAATCAAAATTCTAATAAGATTTCGCTGCTGTTGTCTGACAGAATATTAAGAGTTGGTATGTTGATACATATATTGGAGGACGACTCTTTTGGGGTAATATTGCATAAAGTTCTCCAGCCTGCAAAATTACACTGATTTGTTTTCTGTACTTGAAGTTCTGCATTCTACCATTTTTCTTAAGCCAAATGTAAAGTCTAATTTAAAAAAATGGTATTATACATTCATAAAACTCAGACAGTTTATGGCAGAAAACTGATAGGTTTTTTGGGGTCTATTTTTTTTTATTTTTATTTTTTTTAGGGGCATGTTTCTGGATACCATTCTCCCTTCCCGTGATGATAATGGTATACGACCTGCCATTGGCCAACGTACTCGCCTAAGTAAAGGAGATATTGCACAGGCAAGAAAGCTGTATAGATGTCCAGGTATTGCACCACAAACCAAAAAACACACATAGCAACTGTTTGACTTTGTTGTTCAAGAAGAAAGATAATTTTTCTGAGTCAACTACTTGGTCGTCTGCTTCCATGTTGGCAGTGGGCACAGGCATTTGAAATACTGAATCATTAAAAAAAATCTTGTAGGTAACATTTCTGGAATGCAGAGTACTTAATAGACAAACGGCTTGAAAGGGCCTTTAATTTCATGACATTTCAGTCTTTGTTTTCTTTAGCTGTTCAATTAGAAGACACATGATCCTTAATGTCATTTTTCGTTTGCATATTTGTGCTTAAACTTGAGCTCTCTGGTTAGATGAAAGAGTTGTTTTTAATGTACTTCAGAACTCATGTCCATGTTGATTGGAACTTGCAGGGAGTGCAGTGTGGAAGAAGCAAATTCAATTACTGTCACAGGCTCTGAACAGGACTCATCAAAATCTGAGGAATTTTAAGCCAGGACGGCAAAGTTGTCAGTGGTGTTTATGGATGAACTGGCAAGATCCTCTTACAGAATTCATAAGGGAATAGCAGTTACATTTGGTGTTTGAATGTCTTCTAGCTAATCATAGCGTGACACAACTTCAAATGCATGTTAGAATTTTGCTTCAAATTGGTTTTGAGGTGGAGTTATGTCAGAGACAGGTGAAGCACGTCTGGATTAACCCAGAGTTACCCTGTGGAGCAAGTTCTTCACGTGCTGGCGGCAGGGTGGTAGGATGATCATAGAATCATAGAATGCTGAAGGTTGGCAGGGACCTCTCGAGGGCATCTAGTCCAACCCCCTGCACACGCAGGGTCACCTAGAGCACGTGGCACAGGACTGCGTCCAAGCGGGTTTGAAGATCTCCAGAGAAGGAGACTCCACAACCTCTCTGGGCAGCCTGTTCCAGGGCTCTGGCACCCTCACTGGGGAGAAGTTTTTCCTTAAGTTCCTGTGGAACTTTTGGCCAGTGAAACTGTGGTCGTTTCCTCTAGTTCTATTGGTGGCCACCAGTGAAAAGAGGCCAGCCCCATCCTCCTCACTGCCTCCCTTGAGGTACTTCTAGACACTGCTCAGGTCCCCTCTCAGCCTTCTCTTCTCCAGCTGAACAGGCCCAGCTCCCTCAGCCTCTCCTCATAGGGCAGATGTTCCAGGCCCCTGATCATCCTTGTAAATGATGATTTGCTTTCCTTGCTCTAGCTGTAGCTGAGACCAGTTTTAACTTTTGGTGTGAACTGAAGCCATTCGGAAGTGCTACGTTATCAGCCAGAATATGCCAGAAAGGCCCTTGTGAAAGGGTAGATACACCAGTTCTTTGCCACACAGGTTTTCAAGCTCTCCTGCTCCTCATAGAAATTTATGACATCTCAGTGACTATTTTAAACCAGATATATGTCTCCTTTTTACTACCTGATCAATACAGAAGGACAGAAGAGAGGGATCAGGACAGAGTTGATGGAGCTGTTTCAGATTTGTATCAGTGGCAGTGGGATCAGCTGAAAATCTGGAGCACCTGATGTGCATTTGATATACAATATACATCTGAAATGTGCTTTTACCTTGCTGTGTAAGTACATAGAATCCTGGTCTTCTGTATGTATACAAGTACAGAGGTCTTGGGCCTATTGGAGAAGAAACCACGATAAAATGTTTTTTAACAGCTATTCCTTTAGGAACAGTTTTTGTTCTGTTCTTTTGATACAGAAAATACTTTTAAAATTGCATTCTTGCTGTCAGCATTATTTGCAACAAACAGCAACCATTTCTTAAGCACAGAGAAATTTAATATATATGTGTGTGTATATATATATATATGTATTTTTTGATAAAAGACAAATTTTGAAAGCAAAAATAGCCTATAAGAATCAAAACAGCATAGCTAGAATCTTGTGATCACATTGATTTTAAGAAAAAAAATAATGGCAGGTGAGGCTGCTGAGTGTGTAGGCAACACTCTTAACATATACTTTGTCATCCAAGAAGGATATAATGGTTTTGAGCTAATGTTCAAATAATTGTTTGGAAAAAATGACCTTTTTATAGAATCCATAAAATGATATAAACAAGTGATCATTTCTTCCAATGCTGTGAAAGTTGCATTGAAAGTTGGTTTCACTATTGTAAAGCCACAGTTGTTCTGCAGTAGGGTGCACTGCAAAAATAACAGCTATTTTTTGCAGCACTGATACTGCTGCACCCATAATAAATGTGTACAGGTCATGCTCTTTTTTTGATGCTACACTTCAGCAGAATTTAGTATAAAGGATGCTGGGTTTTGGCCTTACATATATGAGCCATCCCATATAAAGAAAGTGAGTTTTAAGTGTGAGAATTAGGCTGAGAATTTGGCAATGAAGTTCAAATACCATCTAATATACTGTTTTTTTAGTTAATCTTTTTAGTGGGAACTGCATCATTGCATAACATGTGATGAAGACTTAAAAATAACTATCTAAAAGAAAACTCTGTTGCACATGGTTTGTGATCTAATAAATTTCAAGCATCTGATGGAGTGTAAAATTTAGAAACTAAGCATTCCATTTTATGAAAAAAAAATGTGATCATTGTAGTATTTCAGACAACAAGATTGCTGATGCAGTGCTGTTTTTAGGTGTGCTACATTTCCTATTTTGGATAAAAGATGTTGACTGTTCTGCTTGCAGTGAATGTTAACAAGCAATAATAATAATTGCACTGTTTCTTGTGTTGATTTTTATTACCTTAAATTTAATACAATTCAAATACATAAATGAATTAGCATTTTTGAGAAATGCACCCTTTCTTTGGGGGACTTAATAAAGATTTTTATAGTATTGCAGACATTTCATTTAGTGTTTTACATTCTGGTGATTCCTGCCAGTAGTTACTTGTTCAAGAAGTCTGGTGCATTTTTTTGAGGTGCATAAACACGAACCTGAGCTTAGGGCTCCTGGAGAATAATCAATGCAAGTCTGCCTCACAGATTGCCTTTTCTGTTTGGAATATATGGGTTATTATTCAGGAAATGGCTCAGTGATCAAGAAATAATTTGAGTGAGGTGAAGTGGAGATTGGATAACCTATCTTTTTTTTCAGCTGAGTGAGTACCAGGATTTTATAAATAGCAATTTTGAGTTATTTTTACTTTTTTATTTGTTTGTGTTAAATCAAAGGAAAGCATAGCCACTGTTTGGGATTTGTTACATTTTAATACTGAATGACATTATTATACCGCTGAGTAATGAGAAAGCAAGCAAATACACTGAGGATCCTTCCTCTGTCAACCATATTTTGGACTTAATTTTGGCATTTGAGACCACATCTTTGATCTTCAAGCCTGGATATATTACAAGGGTTTTCATTCTATCTAATAAGATGATAGAAGGTCACTTCCTTTTGGTGTGGTTCCTAAAACTATATGTAGCTCTACCATTATAGTTCTGTATAGAAATCCTAGTTAATTTTAAATGTACATACAGTTTTATAGGACCGATAGGATAGGCAAGGGAAATGGGGGAGAAGGAAACTGTTAGGCAGAGAGATAGAGAATCAGGATAAAAAGTAGATAGAGAGGGCCTAAAAAAGAGATGAGTGTCAGGCTGGCAGCAGAAGATCACATGGGAGAGGGGATAAGAAGTTCACTGCATTTCCAGATTGTCAGGATGTGGTATGGGTGTGTGGGGAAGACAGCAGGTGAAGATTAAGGCTTTTTTTATAGCAGTCCTTGCTAATAACCCTGAAGCTTAACTTGCTCACATTGCAATTAGAACAGCAAAGTGGTCACCTTTGAAAGCCACACTTCATTCTCTGCATAAGTGAGACTAAGATTTTTAGCTTAAGGATTTTACCCCTGACTGTAAAGCGGACTCAAGTTAACAGAAAGATACAAATGTATAGCAAATGCTGATTTTAATTTTGGTAATTACTATATTATCACCACCAGGTATTTTTAGGGCTCTGACTGTTACACGTGTTACAGGCACTATATATGTAGATGTATGGACTTAGTTCTAAGTCAGAAGTGTTTAAGATCTTAATTCTCTTTGGAGAGGGATAAGTTAAAAGTATCTATATATTACAGTGTGTATTTACTGGTGCTGTGGGCAAAAAGTGAGAGTTGCCTGAGTAGCTCTGCACTTTATCATTTGTGGATTTCCCTGTAATTCTTAACAGAACTTGACTGTGTAGGTAGGCCAAGCCAGAAAGGTGTTACATGTGGCCTACATAATTAAACACTGAGGGAAATAGCTTCATATAATCTGCCTGCTGTCTGCTTCCACTACTGATCTTTAGTCATTTGCAGTTATAATAGTCAGGGCTAGCTATGCAGGAGTCTGCCTTCCGCTTTACTTCTTGCAGGGCTGCATTTGAGCAAACTTCTTTTATGACCCAAATGTATGTTTGCTTTCTGCAAATCACTTTTTGTGTCTTTGTTCCTGCATGTAATGAATGTTTGTGAGTCAAAGTGAGATTTCATTGGAAGAAATGCATTGTGAGCAGGAAAGATGAGGCAGACAGCATTGTACGGCAGTATGCATTTCTCATCTGCTGAAGGGAACTTAGTTTCAAAAATATAGGTGAAATAATTATTTAGCAGAGAGAGGCAGCATTAAAGCTGGAACAATATTTCAACCCCCCGTGAGACTACATGGATGCAGTGTTGTCCTGTTGAAGCTGTATGTGAGAGAGAACAGCAAGAGAGGTCTCTAAAATTGGTGACCAGGATACTTGGGTGCAGGCAAAGTTTCTCCTCTTCTGGTGCTTCTTTACTGTATTTCTAGAAAGTAGTATTCTGCTCTCGGGCTTCCTTTTGATTCTTTACATCTGTGTCCAAGCTATGGTAGAGCTGGATATTCAGCCCTGGGGACTGACTGGGGGAATCCAGCGTAGAACTCTGCACTTGATTGAAGTTTTATTCATTGTTGGATTAAGAATAAATTATGGTTAATTATGGATATAGCATTTTCACTGAAAGTGGTTTGTAGAGAAACAGTTATTTAGCTGAACGGCTGAACGGCTTTTGTGTATGTGTCATTGCTGTGATTGCCTACATTTTTTTAAACATAGAAACTTTTTTTAATAAAGGGAGGAAAAGTTTTTTTGTTATTGTTTCAGTTCTAAAGGACAGAGTGACATGTCACTTTGTGAATTTTTTTTGGAATGTTCCCTTCTCTCTTTGCTGTAATAACCATTTCAGTGTTAGAGATTGTATTTAATGCCTGGAACGTAGCTCATGCCTGATATTACAGTGCAGTTGTCGTATTACATTTTAGGTTTATTTTAACAAGGCAGCCTTTACAGCTGTGTTGTCTGTCTTTTGTCATCAACAGTCTCTTCCTTTGTCTCCTTTTATTTAAAGATTTTTCAGGTCATTTATAATTCATTGAGGTTTTGATGATACAATGGTTCACCTGCTGGCAGCCGTAGCGCTGTAATTTGAAAGTACTGCAGATCTGATTGCACTGTCAGTCACAGAATAATATTCTCAAATTCATATCTCATATCACACTTGCAAAATCAGCAGGTGGAACCATTTGACTGAAGGTCAGATAGATGCCTGACTGAGGTGCAACACCCTCATAGAATCAGTTTTGGTGGTGAATAGCAGGAGCTTCCATTGCTGTATTTAGTGTGAAGAATTATTATTAATCAGTCAGCCAGTAGCATGACTGACAGGCGAGATACAGGTGATAAAAGCTTCAGTAATAAAGAATATCAAGCCATTTGGTATTTTAGACTTTACTACCAATATCTCTACAAATCACAGTTGAATGAGCTTCTGCTGAATATAGGATTTACGTTTCTATACCAATATAAATGGGTGACACCGGGTCAGATCAGTTCCTTCTGTGTGCGGTGTGCTATATGAAAGGAAGCTGCTGACAAAATCATGGTGCTGTGCCAATCCTTCTGTGCTAGCTTTTGTTTTGGTTTTGTTTTAGTTCTTACAGGCTGCGACTATGGGTGTGACCTAATCTTTTTTTTTCCTTTCCTCCAAAATAAAATTGTGTGTATAATTTTCCAACTGATTGACAGCCATGACATTTTTAAGACTGCTGTAATTCTAGTTATGTCAGCAGATAGCACACAACTGAAACGGTTCATGTAATAAAAACATCCTCTGTAAAACAGAATGAATGTCAGACTAGCTTAAACTCATTATTTTGAATAAATCATAAAAAAGCTAGTCTGTTTTTCATTCTGCATCTGCAGTGAGTTAAAAGCATTCTAAATAGACATTGGAAAGAGGCATTCTTCTCTATTAGGCACATTCAATTTTATATTTTTACTGTATTTTGTTTCTTTCAGCCTGTGGAGAAACGCTGCAGGAATCTACAGGCAACTTTTCTTCTCCAGGATTTCCAAACGGTTATCCTTCCTACACACACTGCATATGGAGAATCTCTGTGACCCCAGGGGAAAAGGTATTTTTAACATTTCCCTCAGAGAAACATAGTACTTTTAAAATGTTTTGTTTGGCTTTTCATTTAGCTTTGTTTTGAAAGCTTCAATAATAATTGAAAGCAATATATGCCAGAAAACAGTCTCTTGAGTGACGCTATGAACTTTACGTCATTGACTTGACGTTGGTCTCTGGTATTTGAACCTCAATATCTGGACTATGGTTGGTTGTCCAGGTGGAAGGAAACCATGTTTGCCATCTGCTGCACATCCACATCATGAAATCCCTTCAAAGCAGAATCCAGTTGGGCTGTTGGGTCAGCGTCAAGGTGTAAGATCTCCTGTTTCCCTGGACAGGGAGAGGGCCGGAGCTCATTGACAGAGCTGGGACCTGTGGTCTGCAGAGGGAAATTCTTAATATGCTCAATAAGATAATGTTGAGTAACACTGTGCACAGCGGGGAAAAGAGAGCATCATTTTAAGTGTTCCTTGGACAGTCCCTTGTTTTAAATTACCGCTTCAAACGTTAACCTACCTCAAAATAAAGAGGGATGGAGTTATCACTTGAGACAAAATATGCAGGAAAAATGGTTTTTTTTACAAGAAGCAGTGGGCAACATTAAGCAATCAAAAGAAAAAAGAGCTTAAAGACTGAAATGGAGAACCTCATACCACCCTCAATATCATAAGAGTCCAAAAAAGAAAACCCAGCCCTTGCCAACATTCGGCAAGACATTTCACTTAGTCTTGTCAGTGTTTTCCCCATCTATGTTGGACTTGGTTTTCTCTTGATAAGATCACTTTTTATTCCTTGTTTCTTTCAGTTCATGGGCCTGGTAGACACTGAGAATTTTTCTTCGTGATATGCTTGAAGAGCTTGAGGAGCTGTAAGAGCAGGTGCCACCATTAGGGATAAAAGCAGAGTCCTTGGGAGCGTGTTGGCTCTCCTGTTGGCAGGAGCAAGAAACAGGAGGAAAAATACGCATATTTGGTGCTCAGACAATGTGTGTGGCTCCGCAGGTTGGCAAGCAATAACAAATGAAAGCAGATGAGTAAAAGAAGGCTTGCACAAAAGAGACAGATTAACCTAGCTGGGTAATTTTATCCCCACTGCCTGTTTTGCTTCTTAGATGCTGCTGTGATAACAACAAAAATGGTTTTCTTTCTATGTCTCAGTCAAAATTGAAGTGTAGTGCTCATCTACAATTGTTAGTGGCTCTTGAGAACAATATTCATATGAAAATTGTAAAATTATTGTGTTTAAGAATTTATAATTTATTTTTGTAAGCATGTCTTTTGGCTTTAGTCTCATTGTAACATATCTGTAATCCTGTTGTAATGTCCCGAGATGGTAACCACCACTGGAGCCCGATTGTACTGGGCATTGTACAGAAGCTTAGGGAAAAAAACCTGCTTTGAACTCAGCGATTTAAGAAGATCAGCTCCTTCCCATCCTACTCTTCAAAATTTTGGGGAAAAGGCTAAACACGATTTTCTAAATTTAATGTGACTTGTTATGTGGTTTCTGTAGGGGACTATTCTGACCTCCTCTGTCTCCACAGAATTCAGAAAGAAATTAGTAAATTATATTTGTGGTAAGGCCAAAGGATATATAATTTTTTTGGTCAATCCTACATCCAGAGGATATTGTCCTCCTTGAGACAGAGTATCCTATTCACCTCTACTTGAGGTGAACAGGAAACCACAGGAATGAGGTCCAAGTGTTAACAGACTCATGTACCATGTATGTTATACACAGATATTATGCTTGATTCCAAGTTTACTGAGTGAATGATGGTAACATATGCACTTCATAAAGGGACAGTAAAAATGTTTTTAAATTTATCTTTTTTGGTTGTTTGCTGTTTCGATACTGCTACATCTCAGAAATGTTGCACGGGGATTACAGTATGTGCAAGTACATCACGTTGTGTTCTGAAACTTCAGTGAACGTTTTAGCCACCTAAAAATATACTGAAAAAGCATCAGTCCAGATTGTCTAGCTCTTGCCTCTTGTAAAGATTTCACATGATACTGTGTGAGCACAATCTGAAGGGCTTTTATTCTATCCATGCTGCTTTTGCAAGTGCGGACACTTGCGAACTTTGGCAATTCAATGGAGGACAGGACTGCAGCAGCACATCATTTATTGATAGGAATCATACATTGCCAGCCCAGCCTAAAATATGTGCATCCTTGCTGCTAAAACAAGGCATTTCATTCACCTTTTACTTTCAGTCCAGATTTAGGACCAAATGGTAAATAGCTGCACACAGTGTATCTATACACAGAAATAGGGGGGTGGTGTCAGTAGCACTGTATGCCCTCTGCCAGGGCAAATCCCTCCTCGTGATGTGTGGGGAGTTTTGCAACTGTGCCAGTGGTTTTTTTTTTTTTTTTCCTTTTGAATAGGTTACGTTATTTTCTATTTTTTTCATAACTTTTTTGCATGCTTAAACAGGACAGGCTAAGGCTTGGTTGGTATAGGAAAAAAAAAAAAGTAACTTAGAGAAAATGTAGTTAGTGTTGCCTGAGCTTTGCTATGCGTTTTGTGCCTTCTTATCTAGGCAGTTTATTCTCTTTGCTGCAGTGGCACAACTGAATCTGGGTGATCAATAATTTCTTAATTGTGCTGACAAACACCCATTGATTGTTTTTCCTATGAAGCTTTTCAGCCATCCTGTCCCCTTGAACTCCTGCTCTGCGTGGTCTCTAGCTCTATTTAATACTTTGTCGAATTGCAAAAGAGTCTTAAATATATTTGTTCTTGTTGGGTTCTTGAGCAGAAATCATGCTGTGATGGGGGGTGGGTCTTGTCTATGTGCAGCCAGCTCATGAATTCCAGTCAATGTTAAGGAACTGCTATATCATCAAATACCTTGGCACATCAGAGTCAGAGGAAAGCTGTGAAGGTTATTTCATATAGTTTCAAAGGCAGGGGCCATGGCGGAGACGTGTTAAATTTTAATGACTTCCATTTAGATATCAGCACTTTGGGGCAATGACAAGATCACACTCAAGTGCAACCAGCTTTTTCCAACTCTATTGTGGTGACTAGGGTTTTTGAAAAAGGTAGCTTTCCAAACAGAAAACAGATTCTGATGTGTCAGCTGAGCCCTAAAAAAACGGGGAACTTGTGGCTAGGCTGGAGAGAGACCTCCAGGCTGCAAACTGGAGTCAGGGGAGGAGGTGTAGGATGGGATGTGGCTCCCACAATCTGCTTCACGCGGAACCGGCTGGATGAGCTGCAGCAGCCAGGGATGGAGACGTGGCTGTAACCCGGCTGCTGCGTCCCCCCACAGCATGGGGTGGGCAGGGGGGGGGGAT